TCTAGGTCCTGAGCTTCCAGCTCTGAGAAAGAGCCTCAAGGACACTCCACCCCTCTCCTCCCCCAACACACACACACACACACACACACACACACACACACACACACACACGCACACACACTTATCATGTTTGGCAGCCCTTTCTTCCAGGCACGTACTAAACCTGGCACAGGCTTGGTGAATGGAACCTGCGAACACACGAGGCTGTGAATTGTGGCGGGCGATGGATGACTGAAATGCACCTGTCACCCTCTCCCTTCTGAATCCTTCTGATTCCCCCCAGGGTGGGGGTGCCATAGGGGGTACTCCTGAGAGGATGCACCCCATATAGCACCACTGAAGATGCCAGCAGCCCTTGTGAGTGCCAATTCATGACCAGAGCTGCTCTACTTCCTATCTAACTCCCTACTGGTGGCCTGGGAAAGCAGCAGGGGATGGCCCAAGTTGGGCTCCAACACCCAAATGGGAGAATTGAAGGAAGCTCCTGGCTTCGACCTGGCTGAGATGCAGTACCCCACCCACACCAGAGGGTCTGGGTGCAAGTCCCAGCTCTGGCCCTTGACTCCAGCCTCGGTCCACAGCAGGGTGTGGGCTAAAGAGGCAGACCTGCTAGCCCTCATCCTGAGAGGCAGTGGTGATGGTTCACCAAATTGGGTCCCTATGGACATAAGAGCCTGAATTCCCAGCTCCCTGCTTTGACCCAGCCAAGTGCAGAGCTCAAGGGACTGTTGAGCCCTTTCAGGAGCCATTGTCACCATGGAGACACAAACTGAGGCAGCTGGGGTGGAGAGCAGGGGGCTGTCCCTTGGAAGCAGGTTGGGGGTACCCATGGCATGCAGCAGATGCTGAGGGAGTGAGTGTACCAGCACTGAAAGCAGGGAAGGAACTGCTTCCAATCAGGGCATCTCAGAATTGCCTTCTCTGTACTCTGTCCACAGCAGGGTGTGGGCTAAAGCTGTGAACACATCCCACACCTCTTCACCACCCCACCCCAGGAGGGTTGTGATCTGCTCTGCCCACTGCTGTGTGTCCTGTGCCCACCACAGGGACACCGGACACAGCACAGCTGCTTTGGTCAAGCCAGGATCCCCTAGAGAAAGAGGGAGCTGGGGGGTCTCTCTTTCCCAGGGACCAGTGCTCTAGGAAGATCACTGCCTCCATCCCATGGCATTCAATCTGGCCTGCCCTCCTCTAGCCCTGGCCTGGTGGGAGTGCAAACACTCCCTGGGTATCCCCCACTCCTCTCCTCCACCCACCTCCACTGCCCCAACCACACCTCGCCCAGGCCTCTGGGGACCTCACCACCTTTGAGGGCCTTCATATCCCTGTGAGGATGACAATAACCCAGTAGTAGACCAAGGCAACAGGGGAGTGGGGAGTTTGCATTTCCCACCCTGGGTACCAGAGCATCCTTCACTCCCCCGGGGTTCAGGGAAACTACTCCAAGATACACTGGTTAGCACAGAGTTGGGAAATTTCAGCAATGCTTGGAGGTGGCTCTTGGTGAAACTGGATAAGCTATTTCCTGTAAACGCTTGCGACCATCTGCAGCAGGCAGGGGTATGGGAGGGCAAGTCGGAGAAGGGAGAGTACTGTAGCACTCTCCCAGCTTGCTCCCAGGCTGCCCCAGACTGGCACGCTAAGCTCAGGCAGGCTAAGGCCAATTATACAGGGGTGGGCACGTAGATGGAGTCGGAGTAGCTGTTTAGGGTTGCGTTATAAGCAGCATTGCAAATCAAGCAAACATGCACTCACACGATGGCCTTCCTCAGCAGGAAACAAAGATATTAATAATCTGTGTGACTTGATAGCTTAAAGATGAAATTTTAGATTTTGAGATTTTACTGGTAAGAAGGGGTGCTGGGGGTAGTTAAAATATCACTGGGTGTTAAGGGTGATGGCTCAATTGGCTAATCTTCTCCCTTGCAAGCATTGGGATCCCATCTGGGTGCCGGTTCATGTCCTGGCTGCTCCACTTCCCATCCAGCTCCCTGCTTGTGGCCTGGAAAAGCAGTAGAGGATGGCCCAAAGCCTTGGCATCCTGCACCCAGAGTACTCCTGGATCTTGGCTTTGGGCTGGCTCATTTCCAGCCATTGCAGTCATTGGAGGAGTAAACTAGCAGATGAAAGCTCTCTCTCTCTCTCTGTAAATCTACCTTTCCAATAAAAATTAATATATCTTACAAAAAAAAAAAAAAAAGATGACATCCCTGGGGACACATGCATCCTGCTTAGGTGTGAGTCCCAGCTCTGCTCCTGATTAGTTTCCGGCTGGTTCAACAGCTTGGGTCCCTGGCAACCAAGTGGGAGGCCTGGATGGGGTTCCTGGCTGTTGCCTCACCTGAGCCACGCTTGGCTGTTGCAAGCATATGAGGAGTAAAGCAGGTACTCCTGTGGGGCCAATCCACTGGGGTGAAAGTTCAAGGTCACAGGAAAGGGTGGAAAAAAGTCTTTCAAGCATGCAGCTGGCTCCAACTGCAGACAGGACAATCATGGCTGCAGGAATGGGAAGATAGGGGGAGGGATGGGAAGAAGAGGAAAGGAAACAGCCGCAGAGAAGAGGTGGTAGCTGAGATAGGAAGCAGCAGAGCCGGCTCCCCCAGAGGCAGCTCTGTGGGAAGATGCCTGCCCCACACCTGGTCCTCGCCAGCCTTTGTTGGAGGCCAGCCGTGTAGAGAGCCTCCCCTGGGGCTCCGCACACACTGAAGACAGGCATGCCTTCTCCTGGGAGCCGGGTTATCCCAGAATGGTCAGAAAAACAAAGCCGTGCATTCTTTCCACCCAGGCGACAGGATGCACTGGCTGTGAGTCATATGTGCTCTGTGGGAACTGAGACCGTCACCCAACGCGCTCCCCCATCCCAGCTCAGTCCCTAGCTGCCGGTGCCAAACTGCCATTCCAGGCAGGTGAGAGCACCTGCCAGCCAGCCAGCCAAGGCCCTAGCCTCTGTCTCCTTCCCACCAGGAAGGCAGTGTTTGCTGCTGGGCCTCCTTTATCAGCCACACTGCACGCTGCATCAGCTCCCACAGGTGGAGGTAGGACACGTGCCATTTCCTCTCTCTCACTGCAAGAAAGGAAGACAATGGAAGATGTAGCATGTCTCGCCTGATGCTGGAGAGGGGCAAGGAAAGGCGGAGGAATGGGGAGAGACAGTTTCATAGAATGCCATCTGTTTGACACCAACAGGAAATGAAGGGCACAGCCAATAAGATAAATGGAGAAAAATCCTCCACCAGCCGCAGGCTCTTTTTCAAGGTGTGGAGGAGCCAGCACCATGGCACAGAGAATTAAACCACTGCCTGGGATGCCGGCATTCCATATCAAATCACTGGTTCAAGTCTCTGCTGCTCCACTTCCCATCCAGTTCCCTGCTAACATGCCTGGGAAAGCAGCAGAAGAAGACTCAAGTGCTGGGACCCCTGCTACCCATGTCAGAGACCCGGATGTGCTTTCAGACTCATGGCTCCAGGTCATTGTGGCTATGTGGGGAGTGAACAAGCTGGTGGAAGATCTCTCTCTCTCTCGCTCTCCTTGCTTTTCCATTTTTCTATGTCATTTGCCTTTCAAACAAATAAATACATCTTTTAAATAGTGAAAGGCATGGAGAAACGGACATCCTTCTGACGTCTGGGAGATTTCTGGGACATACCACCCCCAAACATAGCTTGGAGGGTGTGCTTCACTCCTGTTCAGAAATGACTTCTTGTGCTTCTGTTTTGTCTTCCCTCTACGATCCTAAGCCTACTATTTTTAAGGATTTATTTGTTTGAAAGGCAGAGTGACAGAGAGAAAAAGAAAAAGAGAGATCTTTCATCTAATAGTCCACTGCCCAAATGGCTATAATGACTATGGTTGGGCCAGGCCGAAGGCAGGACAGGAACTCAGGATCTGCAACATCGTTGCAAGGCTCAATCACTTGGGCCACCTGCTGCTGCTTTCCCAGGCACGTTAACAGGAAGCTGGGTCATAAATGGGGCAATCGGGTATTGAACCTATTCTCTGATTATGGAGTGCCAGTATTACAGGCAGTGACTTCGCTGCACTTACAACATTGGTCCCAAGCCTAAACCTACTGCATAAGAAAAAGAACACGAACCTTGTTTCTCTGAAATCCCCATAGTACTTGCCGCTCCAGCAGCACACAGCCGGCCCTTCACAAACACGCGCATGTCATCAGGAAAGGCTACATGGCGCACACGCCCAGCCCTTGCATTGATGTATCCTTGCAAAAAATGGCTTTTCAGATGGAAACACTCACCTTGAACACCAACTCCTAAAAGTTTCATGGTTCATGGAAGGTCCAGGCAAGGTACACACCTGCTCTTGCCTCGGCCCCAGGAAATCACACATGACCCACACGTGTGACAGACCTAGAGGCCCTATAGAGAGGCAACCCAAACCAGTGGTGTCTAATGTTCACTGAGTGTAGAGCGCAGGGTTTTTCCAGATCAGAGGGACACCAGGATGAGGTGCGAGGACAGAGGGGACCGGGCACAAGTGCTGAGTGAAGGCTCAGATGGAGGAAACAGGGACCAAGGCCCAGGAAACAGTGAATCGCCATGCCTTGGACTGACACAAAATGTTTGCATAGGAGGGAGTTGGTCCCAGGCCTAAGAAAGCGGTTCAGAAACAAGGCAGTGTTTTATGAGCACATTCAAAGATGCATGATTAGGACATGACTGAAAGCAATTAACTGGCTTCTCATCCGTCTGCTGATCAAGTTGCAACTAGAAAGAAGTTTCCACGTAGGGGGAGGGAGGCCCCGGGAACCAACCAGTGGTTTGCACACCGCTTCCCCCGGGGTGGGGGCTGCTGAGGGTGTGAGCTCAGGGCCTGCAAATGCCTGGGGGATGCCATCAGCAGGACACCTTCATTAATAGTGACCCGCCCCTCCTGCAGGTCCATAAAAACCCAGGGGCCCCGGGGCTCCCCCAGCTACTCTCTGCATCCCCCTTGGCGCATCTACCTCAGGAGCTCCCCGGGCAGCCTCCCACCCTGCCATGTCCCGCCAGTCCACTGTCACCTTCCAGACCGGGAGCCGCAGGGGCTTCAGCACTGCTTCGGCCAGCACCCCAGCAGCAGGCCGCTCCCGCTTCAGCTCCGCCTCGGTAGCCCGCTCCACGGGCAGCAGCACGGGGCTGGGCAGGATCAGCGGTTTTGGGAGCCGCAGCCTGTACAACTTGGAGGGTGCCAAGCGGGTCTCTGTCAGTGGGTGTGGGAGCAGCTTCCGGAGCGGCTTTGGCAGCAGGGCTAGCAGCGGGTTCGGGGTCAGCAATGGATTTGGCTATGGGAGTGGCATTGGTGGTGGCTATGGGGGTGCTGGCTTCCCCACATGTCCCTCTGGAGGCATCCAGGAGGTCACCGTCAACCAGAGTCTGCTGACACCCCTCAATCTGCAAATCGACCCCACCATCCAGAGGGTGCGCAAAGAAGAGCGCGAGCAAATCAAGACCCTCAACAACAAGTTTGCCTCCTTCATCGACAAGGTGAGCCAACAGCCCCCCTTCTGCTAGGAGCCCAGGGCAATTGGAGGAACCCCTGCAATACACTCCTCCCAGTCCAGAAGCGAGTCCAGAAATCCAATGGCCCAGCCTTGGGGGAAGGGTGCCTTTCAGGGGGACTCCCATGGCTGAGTCAGGTGGGCACCAAGAAAGAATGACGTTAGTTTTCCTAAGGAAGGAACTACCCTGGCCGAACTACCCCTGACCCCAAGCAGGTGGCTCTAGAAGCAGTCTGGCATCCAAAGCTCCCAATGGGGACTTTGGGTCCTACCCGCTATCCCCGGGGTGGCTTCATGGGCTTCCTCACTTGGCCTTCAGGTCATTGGTGACTCCACTGCCAGCTAGCTGCAATATCAAGGGAAGGTGTCGCCTGTTCTGGCCTCCCCTATGAGTAGGCATCTCCGGCTCTGCCCACCCAGCTCCTCCACACTTCGTTCTCTCTCTCCTCTCTTTCTAGGTGCGCTTCCTGGAGCAGCAGAACAAGGTACTGGAGACCAAATGGAACCTGCTGCAGGAACAGGGCTCCAGGGTCGTGAGACAGAGCCTGGAGCCCCTCTTTGATGCCTACATCAACGGCCTCCGGCGGCAGCTGGACAGCATCACCAACGAGAGGGGCAGGCTGGACGCCGAGCTGAGGAGCATGCAGGAGGTTGTGGAGGATTTCAAAGTCAGGTGAGTGGGGCACCCACAAGCCAGCCCAGGCCCAGAGCAGTGCCGGGGAGCAAGCAGCAGTATTGGTCGGGAAGTTTCAGAACTTGTGAGCACCAACTGGGCAGGAACGGTACAGAGTGTCGAAGGGACTTCGACTTCCTGCATCATAGCTACAAGCAATCTGTTCCTTTCTGTCCATGTGTCTGCCAACATCATCTAACAACGCCTCAGGGATCTCTCTCGAGGCAGTGATGAAGATGGGACTCACATCAGCTCAGGCTTGGAGAGAGAGAGAGTGAGGACAAACGGGGCACAAGGCCCTCCAATCTTCTCCATAGATGCCAATCTTGACGGCACCACATCTAGGCAGCAAAAACTGAAGGAGCCAGCGGAGGAGTTCAGCCCCAGCTAGTCCCATAGCTGGCTCACCCTGGGTTTCCGAGTCTAAATTGTGCCTGATCACAAAAAGCACATTGCTTTTTGTAAAAATGACCCTAAGCTACCTAGAATATGTCCCAAATGCACAGGCATTACTTCCCAGTTCCAGCAGGCATGGGAGACAGCAAACCGCTTTCAAGGTCAGAATTGCAGATCTAGAAACAGACCAAGTTGCCTAAGGGCTGATTTCTACGCCTACACATCCCACACTCACCTTCTAGTCTTACAAATATTAAAAAAAAAAAAGGCACAAGAAATCACACCCCATTTATAGAGGGAGAAGGGAGGTTAAGTGAGTCACCCCAAGTCACACATAGGTCAGCGGAAGAGCCAGAGAGGATCTGAGGTCCCCTGAGTCTTGCCACACCAGCTCAATGTGAGTTCAAAGACATGCTTGCTCAACTACACGCCCCCTCTGCCCCATCCTCACAGGTATGAAGATGAAATTAACAAGCGCACAGCCGCTGAGAATGAGTTTGTGGCCCTGAAGAAGGTGAGTGGAGAGGACTTGACCAGATAAGGAGTCTTGGGGTGTAGCATTGCCCTGACCTTGGGCCCCTTAAGCAATGCTGACACAATGTACAAACTTGCCAGTAAACTGCCTCCATCCAAGTTCATGGCCGCTTGGATTCCCCCCACCCCACCCCGCAATAGGCTTCTGTTAGCCCAAGATGGGGCTCAAACATACACAGTTCTTAGGAACTCCCCCTTGCCCCACAGCCAGCTTCCCCAAAAATTCCAACCCCCAAAGGCCAGGCCCAGGCATCCACCAAGCTTATTCTCAGAGGGGTGCCCTGTGCCGTTTGTGGTTCCAGGACGTGGATGGTGCCTACATGAACAAGGTGGAGCTGGAGGCCAAGGTGAACACACTGACAGAGGAGACCAACTTCCTCCGGATGGTCTACGAGGCGGTAAGAGTCTCATAGCATTTCTGCCCCTCCCGGGGCACGTCTGCTGCTCCTTGTCTGGGATCTAGAACTTCTGCCCAGCCTCTTACCCTGGACACACCAAGCGAGGGCTCCGAAGACAGGAGGGATCAGGGAGAGCCACTTGGAATCTCATCACCTTGAACTAGCCCAGCTCTAAGGCTTCTCCCTGACTCAGACGGGATCACCTAGCTGATTCTCAAAGTCACGGACATAGAGAACACATCCAGAGAATTGATATTGCTCCCTCAGCTCCCTTCCTTCCCTTCCTGGAAGCGTACAGAAAGACGCACAACTCTGCAGATGCCTGGTTTTGGACCCTGAGCCAATAAAGGGAATATCAAGAAAGGGAAGGGGCACACCATCCTTACACACCCTCCCCCCCCCCCCGCCACACACACACACACCCTGGGCCTGCAGAAAACTTCCATCCTCGTGCACAAACACAGGGCAAATCTAAAGACTCTTATTGCGCCACCCATCCCTGGCCCAGAAATTTCCTGAGATGAAGTGGAATGGTGTCCCCCACCATGATTGGGGTGCCCAGGATATGCTGGCAGAATCCCTGGCAGGTCTGCCTCAGTGACACTGGGCTGGTGGCCCCTGCAGGAGCTGTCCCAGATGCAAAACCAGGTCAGCGACACATCTGTAGTGCTGTCCATGGACAACAACCGCTCACTGGACCTGGACAGCATCATCGCCGAGGTCAAGGCCCAGTACGAGGATATCGCCAACCGCAGCCGCGCCGAGGCTGAGTCCTGGTACCAGACCAAGGTGAGCGTGGGCACCTCTACCATGTATCCTGAGATTGGCATTCTCAAGGTTCAATATCCCTGTCCCAACTCAGCCTCGGGAGTTGGAGGGTGGGGGTCAGATGAGGATTTCCGTTTCTTCCCAAACTAACAGGTGCATCTTTGATGTTGTGTAGACTTGGCTTGGATGCCAAAGAGAAGCAAGAAAGGGAGGGCTGGGGACAGGAGGCCATTGACCCTGCATATCACAGTGCAGGTGCTCGAGAGGAGAGGGTAGGTTGAACTCTGAGACTACCAGAAGACAGTCATGAGACAGTTTGCAAAGGGGCTTATCCATTGCACACATAGTTCCTGAACTCCTACTTCATGGCAGGAAGGGTGTCACAACTGTGAACACACAAACCGCCTAGGAGAACGGGAAGGGCCCACCAGGGAAAAAGATCAAAGTAAGTTCACAGATGAGAAGCTCGTGGCCAAGATCAAGTCCAATGGAGACAGAGTGAGGGCTGAGAGATTGCAGAGGAGCCAGAGAGGGATGGTGACAGCTGAGCAGTGCTGTTGGTAGGCTGCAAAGAGCGCTTGGCTGGGTTAAAATCAGGTCTGCAAGAATAGGCCTGGGAATGACCACAGAGAGCTGCCATCCGAAGGCTCCGCTGACCGAGAGGAGATATGATCCTTGTCATAGACCAACGAGACTAAAAACCCACCACATCCAGCCCATTGGCAGGAGCAGCTGCTCCCCTCCAAGCCAGCTCTCTGGTTCCCAACCCTACCCTGTTCCCTGCTGCCATCTCTCCTGGTCAGCAAGGTGGTGGAAAGGAAGGGAGATGTTGGGGGCCAAGGGAGCTCCAGTGCAGGGACAGCCCCCTTGACAGTGAGCACAGTGGAAACAGTTAACCCCCAAGACTGGACAGGTGGAAAGGTAAAGTACACCTCTGGTCTGCTAGAGGACATGGTATGTGGCTGTTACCCCTCAAATGAGCAGAGCTGACTGTGCCTCTGTCTCTCTCAACACTGCCTTCCTGCAGCTGGAAGGACACCACTGGTCCAGATGCCTCCCTGTGCCGCTCACTCCCCACGGTCAGTGTCCAAGGCACCTGCTCAGGCCTAGAGCTCTCCATGTCACCTTCCTGCCCCAGCAAATCATCGTCCTTCACACAGACTCTTTCCTCAACCTGGGATGTTTGCCCCACATGCTGGTCACGTGGCTCTGCCCATCACAACCTTTAGAGTCCAGCTTGCACACCCACCCCCAGATCTGGAGAAGCTCACCTTACCCCAACAACCTGATCTAGATGAGACATCTTTATGACGTTCTCCCAAGACATTGCACAATGCGCAGCAGGCCTGACTGTATTCATTGCAGTATTCCCTGGAGGCCTGTAACCTACCTGGTCAGATGTACTTGGGAAATCCAACCCCCCCAACCCCGCCGGATAAGTGAGAAAGGCAGTAAGTGAATGACTAGGGAGTGACCAGGCCTGCTAGGGGGCCTGAAGCCATGCATGCCCACAGTGGGTGCCCATACCGGGCACTTGCAGGGCAACTGAGTCAGCTCTGGTTCCCTCAGTATGAGGAGTTGCAGGTCACAGCAGGCCGACATGGCGATGACCTCCGCAATACCAAGCAAGAAATCTCTGAAATGAACCGAATGATCCAGAGGCTGAGGTCTGAGATCGACAACGTCAAGAAGCAGGTAGAATCTTTTGGCAGGGCCCAGAGCTCCTGCCTGCACACTCCCTTCCCCTGGGTCCTTCTGCCATCCCACAGTACTCCTTCCCAAGAAGCACCAGTCCTCAGGGACAATAAGCAGGACTCACAACTTCCTTCCATCCTTAAAGTGCTCCAGTCTACAGACGGCCATCGCCGACGCCGAGCAGCGTGGCGAGCTGGCCCTCAAGGATGCCCGATCCAAACTGGTGGACCTTGAGGAGGCCCTGCAGAAGGCCAAGCAGGACATGGCCCGGCTGCTGCGCGAGTACCAGGAGCTGATGAATGTGAAACTGGCCCTGGATGTGGAGATTGCTACCTACCGCAAGCTGCTGGAAGGCGAGGAGCACAGGTGAGCCAGCAGATGCACCAGCTCCACCGGCAAAGCCAGTTGAGCTCAGTCCAGTGCTTAGGTACCTCCTAGGAGCTCAGGCTGCAGTGTCCGCCTCCCTCAACCTTCTTCTGGAAAGGGGAGCCAAATGCAGGGGGATGTGGCTGTGACAAGGAATGCATGAGCAGATTCCTCCCAATTGAGAATCTTGGAGGAGTGAGAACAATTTACACCCATCAAAATCCAGGGTGTGGTCAGGTCCGAGTAAGCAGATTCTCTCCAAGGCTAGATTTGGTCATGTAGCAGTTCTCTCAATACTCCTAGGACATGGACTTACAGGTTAGCCATTAACTGGCCATGTACCTTGGGAAAATCAGCCGTCCCTCTCTGGGTCCTCAATTTCTTTGGTCATAGGATAAAGAGACCCCATAACACTATCCCCCAACTCATAAAAGATTAGTGTTCTGCCAGCTGCCAGCTGGTCAACCAAGGAGGGGCAGTTACTGAATCTCTGCATGCCTCAACCTCCTCACTTGGGAATGCCCAGGAGACTCTGAGAACAAGGCACGGCTTGCTTTGGGTATCATTTGGCTTAGTGCTCAAAGACCTCGTCTTTGGTGTCAGGTGAACCTGACCTTCAAACCCAGCTTAGTGAGCATGAGCAAGCTCATTGAATTTTTTTTTTCTGAACTTCAATGCCCTCTCTGTTAACACTGAGATTGCAGGAGCTCGCTAATGAGGTTGTTGAGAAAAACTAAGAGACAGAATGTCAGCAGCAGATACACAGTAAACGTTAGATCTTGTTAGAGTTCCAAGCATGTGATTATGAATGAATGGCAGCTGCTAAAACAATAACAAACTGGCTATTGCTGTTGTTATTCTTATGATTCAAATGGCTCTCCATGCCTATAATAACTTCTGCAGGGGCCAGGGCCCGACAATGGTCTCCTGTTGAGAGATCTTCCTGATAGAAGGCATGTCCTTCCTTTTCCCTTAATGCCAGTCTGTGTGCACGGCTGTAATTTCCCCCAAGTATCTAAGCAGCATAAACACCAAGCATATCTGAGATGGCAGATCCTCTGCTTATGAACCCCAAACTCCCTGTGATTTCCTTCCTCCTACTGTGATTTTTTTTTTCATTAGTATTAGGACTTAACCAATTTCAGCCTGCATTGTTTCTATAGTACAAATGTTCATGGGGCTTGCAACACATTTAAAAGGACAACAAAATCAGCTGCTGCCCACGTACTAACCTTGCTTCTTCCCTCCACCCCACCAGGCTGAGCGGAGAAGGCGTCTCCCCAGTGAACATCTGTGAGTACCATGTGTGACTGGCTGCCTGGGGTGGGGTGGAAAGACATGGGGCACTCAGAAGCATCCCACAGGCAGAAAAGGTGGAAGGGCCTGAGACCCTAAAGAAAGCCACAGAAGGAGAGGATATTGAATACCAGCCTTTTCATGACATTCCTGATGGAGCAAGGGCCAAGGAGCAGAGTGGGTAGTGTGGTTTTGGCTGCAACTACACAATCTGAGTTGATATCTGCACTGCCTAGCATCCCTGCTCTCCTTGTTGGAGCTCCAAGAGCATATATGCAAAGGGGATGTACAGTCCACCTTGGGCCAGAGTCCAAGAGTCCTGAGAGAGTCCAGAGTCCTGTTTGGGCAGCTTCTTCCAGAACTGTGTGGGCAGAAACCCTGCCACTTGGCTCAGCTCCATGGAGCTTAACCACAGGGGATTGCCCCTAGACAGTGAAGCAATACAGACCCTGGCAAGGGGGTACAGTGGAGACACAAGAGTTGGCAGCGGGCTGGTGGGGGCCCTCCATTATCTGGCACATAAGGGAGCCATCACCCACTGAGCTCAATGTTGGATCCCTATGGACCTGACCTTCACAACTTCCACTCCACACAGGAGCTCCGGTCTCTAGATGTAGGATGGTTGTATCTGCCGAAGATTCCACAAGGCAGAGCCCAAAAACAAACCACCACCACCCACCAATTGCCATGCACATAACCCAGGCCTCCTCCATCCATGGTGCCCATGTCTGCAGAGGCTTAGAGCCCCCTCAAAACTGCTTCTGGGAACAGAGGGTATCACCTGAATTCGTGCCCCAGGCCCTGAATCAGGGTTCCTAAAACAGCAGCACCATAGCCTCCCACAGTTCTAAACACAAGGTGTCCCAGGGCAGTGCTCCCTGTTGAAGCTTGCAGGGGACTCCTAGCTACCAGTGGGGGCCCTTGGTGCACTCGTGTCACAGCAGTCCCTGCTTGGTGGTCACATGGCTGTGTCCCTGTGGGTCCCTTTACACTCAGATGCCTGTCCTTCTCTATGAAGATGGATTAGGGCCCATCTGCAAAGACCCTCGGTCACAAGCCCTGGGCATGAAGTCTTCAACACCACTTTTTTGGAGGACACACTCTACCCTATAGCAAAGTCTGTTTGTGCTTGCAATCTTCCCTCAGCAGGTCCCAAGCAGGGTGTGTGCAAGGATGCTTCAGGGCATCCGTGGCTGGAACAGAACACGCCATGAGCCAGAAAGGGGACAGTGTGATGGCTTGGTCAAGAATGCCCTCCACCCTGCTCTGCCTGCCATGCCTTCTGGAGTTCAGAATGCCAAGGCTTGGAGGCAGCAAGGGTGGGTCATGGGAGCCCCATAAGGAAGGGCTTGGAGGAGCCAGGCCCAGAGAAGATGATGGAATCAGAAAGAACAGAAGGGGAGTGTGTAGCCAGATCCAGGGAGAGGTTAGCAGACTAGAGCAGCACCCCGCAGAGAAGTCTCCAGTACGTTCTAGAAAGAGAAGGAGTACCAGAACAGAAGAACCCACAGCCCAGGGAGAAGTCCCTTGAGGAAAACACAGCTGCAGCATCAGGCAGTGCACAGGACGATGGGACGGGACAGGTGTCTGACAAGCCCCCATCCACACCCCGAGGACTCGGGGCAAAGGCCCAGCCCCCACTCCCACAACTCCTCTTCTAGCTTTGATTCTCACCCACTCTCTTCCGCTCCATCCCACAGCCGTGGTCACCTCCACCGTTTCCAGTGGCTATGGCGGCGGAAGCAACAGTTTTGGTGGTGGCAACCTGGGTCTCGGCGGAGGAAGCAGTTACTCTTTTACCACCAGCGGTGGGCACAGCCTGGGCACAGGCCTAGGGGGCTCTGGCTTCAGTGCCAGCAGCAGCCGGGGTCTTGGAGGCAGTGGCTCCAGCATGAAGTTTGTCTCAACCACATCTTCCAGTCGCAAGACCTACAAGCACTAAGCTTGGCCCCGGGGCTCCCTAAGCACCACCCTGTGGCCCGTTTGCACTGATGGCCCGGCCACCTGTGCCCTCCTACCTGCCTTCCTCCCTCTGCAAGGCCCAGCTGGGTATTTAGGTAGCTGGCTGAGCCCCTCCTCAGGGTCCTGCTGGCAGCCTGTCTCTTTACATGAGTGGCCAAAGCCAGCTCCCCCTCCAGGTTCTCATACAGCCTCAAGCGCCTTCTCCTTCCCCTGCTCCCTCCAGATATGGAGAGGGCAGACCTGTGTCTGTGAGGCAGGCCGACTCGAAGCCAGGCTGTCCCCCATTGGTCTTCAGGTGCTTATTTAGAAGCTGCCCGCTGGAGTGAATGTCCACCTGTGTCCCCTCCCTAGAACGAGTCTATTAAACTGCCTGTGTCATGTGTTCAGTGCCCGACCTATCTGTCCACAGCTGTTCTCCTCCTATCCTGGTGCAGGTCCAGAGCAAACAATGCCCAGAGCAAACAACCCTTGCCTCCTTCGATCCCTGGAAGCCCAGAGGCTGCCTGAGCAGATGGAAGGGCTGCAGGGGACCACAAGGCTTCTGTTCACTTCGCCCTTCTTGTTTGGGCAGCTGATGCCCCTGGCCAGGCTGTCCATTCTGTGTGCACACAGGACAATACCTTTCCCTCCCCAAGCCAGGGCACATTCCAGGGTTGTGGACAATGTGGACTGCCAAGGGGCTGATTGATTGTTCTCTGAGCAGAGATAAGTCAGGGAGAAGAGCTGAACACCATCCCTCAGAGCCCATAACTGCAGACACACTGAAACATATGGAAACTCCCACATTCCTGAGCTAAGTGCCCCCTCCCTCCACCATGTCCCCACACTCCCAGCAGAGGCCTGGGCATCCAGGACAGGAGTGGGATGCAGCAGGCTCCCCCAACATGAGGCCATGATTGGGCTTAGAAAGAATGGGATCAATGCACAGGACCAGACTCGAAATTAATAACAGCGATGGCTCAGTCAGAGTTCCGGAAAATACTGGGAGTGGGGCAGGAAGGGAAGGCTGAGCCAGGAAAAGGTAAAACCAGGGATTAACATTTGGAGGGACTGTGGGGAGGGCTGGGAGTTGTGGCTGAGAGCAGCAGCAAGACAGACTTTGGCAGTAGGGGGCTGGGGCTGCTTCTCCTGGCCAAGGATCTGTCCTGATACTGCCCTCCCGTCCTCACCCGCCACCCTCCACCGTGTGAAGTACAGTGATTCAGGGTCTGTGGCCTGGTGTCATTCCCTGGATCCCCCTGTTCACTGGCCCTGGGACCTCAGCCAAGTTGCCTAGCAACCTGGAGCCTCACCAGCTCCCCTGTGAAGCCAGAATCATGTGGAAAGGAGAAGAGAGATCACAAGGTTGCTCGAATGTTGTCTGCATTGTCTTCGTCATCTGGGCAAGGAAAACAACTGTGAAAATCAAAAAAAAAAAAATCATAATTTTTCTGCAGCTGAGGGATGGCATAGATTAAGTCCGCAAGCAACAGGCTTCTTTTCCATCCTAAGTGCCCAACATGGGGAGGGCCCAGACAGGGACTTGGGGTCAGTTTCCGAGGTACGGGACTGGAGAAGGGGAGGGGAGTGCCACTGAAAGGAGCAGACGTGAGTGAGTGAGTGGTGAGTCCCCCTGGGGGAATTGGGGCACGGGAGACCTCATCCTTCATCCCTAACTAGAGCGTGTGCGGTTACTGAAGCAGCACCACAAAGGCCTAGAGACAGATAGGACATCATGCAAGGCCAAAGGAGTAACACGGCTAACCCCAAACCTCTGTCTGAAGCCCCCATCAGTACCGTGAGGCTGCAGCTAGATGGCCTGGGGGAAGGCAAGAGGCAGAACCAAGAGCACCGGAACAAGTGAGAGGCCACGGCCACAGAGCAGTGGAGAACACACAGGCAGTACCCATGCCCAGCACAGCTCAGCCCAATGAGAGAGATTGGATGCACACTGGGTGCAGGAAGAAGATTCCAAGGTGGGCACTTGATGTGGACAGAGCTAGGACTCCACAGTTCAGATGGCTAAGGTGTTCAGGGAGTTATAGAGGATGATCATGGATACCCTTAAACTGTGCTGACAAAAACAGTCAGACTCTACCCTTACTCAGATCATTGCCATCTCACAAGTTAAAGTGTTAAATCTGAGGCCAGGAGCAGTGGTTCGACAGGCTAACCCTCCACCTTCAAGTGCCAGCATCCCAAATGTGTACTGGTTCATGTGCCTGCTGTTTGTGGCTGGGAAAGCAGCAGAGGATGGTTACAGTACTTGAGACCCTGCACCCACATAGGAGACCAGGAAGAAGCTCCTGGCTCCTGGCTTCTGGCTTCAGATTGTCTCAGCTCTGGCTGTTGCAGCTACGTGGGAATGAACCAGCAGACAGAGGATCTTTCAGTCTTTCCTTATCTCTCTATAAACTTATCTTTTTAATAAAAATAAGTAAATCTTTAAAAAGTAAAGGGTTAAACCTGTAAACTCTCACATTTCTTTAGCTAAAATCTCACAGTTGGTTCCTGCAGTGTTCATGCATTCATCCCAAGGCTGGCCAAGAAGCTGGGGGAGGAGGGAGGAAAGAAGCATGTTGGCTGCCTGCTCACAGGCCCACACTCAGCATAATGCATGCCCCTGCATGTTTACTTGGGTGCGAAAATGTAAGTCCCACCGTATGAAGTTGGGAAGTCTTCAAAAATAAAAGGTCTTTAAAAGAAGCGCTATGAAAAAGCGAGGCTCAGATGGCAAACTTTTTGTATCAAAGTAAACCCATCGTAAACACCATATGCTCATCCTCTCATACTTGTACAAACACAGGGTTGTGGTGTTCTGAGCCAAGGGGGCTTCCTGAGGGGCGGGGGCATGGAAATGAAGTGCAAGCTGGAGAAGGAAGGAGACATGGGAGGTTGTGGGCAGCATTGACTGCGGCCCTGCACTCCTGGCTCATGATTAGGCAACTCCCAGCAACTGAGTACTGGGCACCCTCGGGCAGAGGGACTGTGAGCTGGGAGACATTGATGGCCACATGGTGAAAGACAAGTGTGCAGACAGAATGGACACACGAGTTGAAGCAACGATCAAGAATGCAGAGTCCGTTTGCCCAGAGGACAATGGAAGAAGGCAGGATATTGTTTCTGTGACTGGAAAGGGGCGCACCCTGGTCCAGCTGGACAGAAGCAAGAATCTGGCTGGATCTGTGTGGTTGTAGAGGAAGAAAAGCTGGAGTTTCCTAGATGGCAAAGAACCTCCTAGAGTTTACCAGCTTGTCTGAAACGACGCCACTTGCTTGCGGGTTAGGGGGTTGGTGGAATCCCCTGCACATGCTGGGATTGGGTGGGGACGCGCTTACCTGCAACTGAAACAGAGCTTCCTTCCCAGACGTCAGGGAGCACGGACACCTCCAGCTGGCCCTGAGGGTCACTCTCCAGGGGCGCATTGAAGAATGTGACACTGGCCACGGCAGAGACTCCTGTTGAAGCAGTGGCCTGGTTCAGCAGGCTGAGAACGAGCAAGGGAGATGATAGGTGGGTGCCATGGGGGTTCAGGAGCCAGCCTAGAGCTGGAGCTGCCACCTTTCCCATAAAAATAAAGTACACCCCCAGCATTATCCCACCACGCCACCTGAACTACCCCACCCCAGCCCTCATACCGCTGTTTAGGTTGGAGCAGGCTTTTACCAAGGTACTTCCAAAAATGTGTGGAAAATGCATTCAAAAGAGAAGCTCATTTGGATATCAAACCAAATAGAAATCCATGCATACTGGTGTTCAGGCCCCTTTCTACAACCAGGCCCTCTAAGGAACCAAGCTAGGAGGAAAGGACCAGCAGGGGTTCTGGGATGAGCATTGCTGGGAGCCAGGGTTTTGTATTGCTGGTGATGGTTGTTTGATGTGGAGCTTGGGCAGCGCAGATGGAGCAGGAGAGCTTGGTTCTAACAGGAATTCTCCAGGTGCAGACCAGTCAAGAACAAGCTTGTAGTACTGAAATGAGTAAGGTGTCGGGCCTCTCATGACAGCTGCCCATGCAGCAGCTGGCTTTAGTGAATTTGCTCACGTCTTGAAAGCAGAGTTTAGGGGCCCAGAGCAGCAAGTTAAGCTCTACTTGAAATGCCAGCAGCCCATATGGACATTGACTTGAATCTGATTGCTCCAATTCTGATCTAGCTCCCTGCTAATGTGCCTGGGAGAACAAAAGAAGATGGGCCAAATGCTTGGGCCTCTGCACCCACATGAACAACCTGGATGAAGCTCCTGGCTTCTGCCTGACTCAGCCCAAGCCATGGTTGCCCTCTCTTCCCTCTCTTTCTCCTCTCCCTCCTCCTCTCTCTGTAACCCTGTCTTTCAAAGAAGTGAAAAATTAAAATCATTTTTAAAAAGGAAAACAAATTTTAATTTAAATGTGAAAAGATCAAGGATCAAGAGGTTAGGGGCATGGTCTGGGGATCACGTGAAGTACCTCCACTGAGTCAGTCTCTGGAAACTAAAATCAGAGTTGCAAATCCTGCTGCCAGCCCCTCCCCAGGGGGGACGGAGAGGGGGAGTCAGATGAGCCCTGTGCTGAGCTAAGGGTTCCAGACCTCAAGCCCAGGATAGGGCTCAGAAGATGGGGCAGGACAGAGGGATGTGTTTCCAGGCAGTCAGGAGGCCCAGCTGGCAGAGGAAGACCTAGCGGCAGCTGTGAAGGGAGGAATGAGGCGGAGGGAGGAGGAAGAGGATGCAGTTTTCCAGAAGAGACTTGGAGAGGCAGCAGAAGCCGCAGGACCACAGGAGGGGAGCTGGGCACCTCTCCCCTCAGTGCGTGCCAAACACATGGGCACCCCCACACACAAGCCTTGGTCCTCACTGTGTGGACCCTCCCATGCCTCCTCTAGCCATTCCATGCTGCCTTTCAGAACCTAGAGTGGAGAAATGAGCTCCTAACCCAGGCCTTGGGCACCCCATACATGAGCAAGATGTAGCTGGAGGCCAAGGCAGACACACTGGTGGATGAGATCAACTTCATGAGAGCTTTCT